ATTTTTTGCATTAAACTCAATTGAAGAAATGGCCTGTGAAGCAGGATGAACTAAAAGTGACTTGAGATATGAAAATTTGACTATATCCGTGTAATTTCGATGAATTAAGGCATCAAATAATGATTTAAATGAAGGAAATTGTTCGTACTGTCCAGAAAATTGAGGATTTTGTAAATCTGGCAATTTAGGATGGGCTACTGGTTCAGACATGCTGGGTTGAGAAGCAGGAATCATGTGCTCAGCTTTAATTAATCTCTCATGTGCAACTTTTATCTCATAATAAAGTTTCTCCACTGCTAAAGAAGGTGTGTTTATTTCTATCCTATGTTCCTCCTCCAACGATTCATTTACAACCGAAATTTTGTTTATCACAGCTTCACATTCCTCCAGTTGTGCTTTAATTTCTGGAGTCCTGGCCATAAAAATTTCCTTTCTAGCAGGGAGACCCTTAATCGTATCGAAAGTGGTTTGAATTCTAAGTGACAGCCTTTCCTTTCTATCATCTATAACAATAAGCCCTTTAGTACTCTTAGCGCCATCTTTAAAATTGTTAAAAAAACTAAAAATTCAAAATTAAATTTTCATTGCTGAAGGCAAAACCAATTTTCTTTAAGATAAATGCTAAGTTCAGCAAAGCAGGCCAAGACAAGCAAGGATTAACGTAAGTATTAACGAAATCACTTAATTCCAGCAAGTCACTATGCATTCCTGGAAATGTATTATAAAATAGCTTGACTTCCCCAAATACGTAACAAAAGCATTAGATATACGACATAAGATATATTTAAAAACAAATACGAATTAATAGGCGAAATACGAATATTAGCCCGGTAATATAAGATTTAAAAAAACAAAACAATTTTCATTACTCTGGCACCCCCAAATAGGCAACAAAGCTAGAAATGACATAAGATATACTTGAACAAAAAAAAAAAAAAAAACGAATTAATAGGCAAAGCACGATCATCAGCCCCGAAATAGAGGATCTTAACAAAAACTCTCATAACCTACCAGGCAAAACATCGCTAATATGGCAAAAAAAACTATAATCGTGTCCAGTGGACCAAAATGTTTAGGCTACTTTCCAATTTTAATTCAATTATGGCAAACAACTCTAATGAGTTTAAAATAGGCAACATTCAACTTATTGGCAATATCCGACTTATTTATGCAGTGGACTGTATTGTGATGAAGTGGTAGGTTAGATAAATAGGAAATAACTTTATTCTGGGACAAAGTCCCTTAAGAATAACAAAATTAAAAGATTACATCTGGTCTAAATACAATCAATACAAAAAAGAAATAGTGGTAAGAAAATTTAAGGTAAACATTCTAAATACAAAACAATTAACACTATGACAAGACACTTGAAGCTATTTGCAGTGATAGACTATTATACACTTTTAAGAAAACAATAAAAAAACAAAAAAAAGAAAAATATATTAAAATCTTCATTAAAATAAGTTTTGTGTTTCTGTTGAGAAAAGAGAAAGCTGAACCTGACAATATAAAGTGCTTGATGATTAATATATAAATACATCATTATCATTTCTTAATGTAACGATAGGCAATAATTTAGTAGTGTATGAAAGATAATAGTAATAAACAATAATAGTTGACGCTTTCAGTAACATCAAGAGTAGGAAAATCTTTACCCTATAAGAAAATTAATATCCCTAGCAAAGAACAGCATTGATATTTGACAATAAATGGCATGAAATAAACGTATGTTGTTGAATGGTTAGCAACTATCTGACTGTTTTTGGGATAGGAATTGGAATAGGTTTTGGATGTGGATATGGAGGGGGAATGTCGAATTTTGAGGGAATTCCAGAAATTGACAGAGCGAGCTATAAAGGAGTTTTGGAATGAGGCAGATCTGTGAGAAGGCATGTAAAGGTTAGAAGGTCGAGATTTTGTGGAAAGAGAATGGACAGAGGATTTGAATTGGAGAAGGTTGTATACGTAAGAAGGACAATGATTGTTGATGATTTCTTCTTCTTCATTTATTATAAATTTATTTTTACATAAATTAATAATATATATTAAATATGCAACCTTAAATTCAAAAACGTTAATCATCCACTTCTTACTGAAGTTCAAACCTGGACCAAATCTGACGAAGAGAAATCTCTCATATTTGTCTGCCATCTCTTCAAAACCTTCAATCCACTCCCTGATATCCTTAATCCTAATCGCCTTGAGTGTATTGAAGCAGAATTGGATATTCCTCTCCAAATGGCTCCACATCCTAAAGCATTTCATCCTTCAGAAATAGCCAATATCATTCACAGATTACCCTCCCGTAAAGCTCCTGGCCACGACCTAATCACATCCCAGATATTAAAACTGCTTCCTCGGAAAGCTATCCTGTTCCTTACCTACGTATATAATGCTGTACTCCGATCCACATATTTTCCTGACCCCTGGAAACTATCTATTGTCAAAATGATACACAAACCCAAAAAGCCACCCGAACACCCATCCTCTTACCATCTTATCTCTTTATTACCTATCATAGGCAAAATCCTGAAAAAACTCATCCTACAACGCCTGTACCCCATCCTTGATTCTAATAATATAACCCCGATCACTAATTTGGATTCCGCACTACCCATTCCACTATCCAGCAATGCCGTTGAATGGTAGACGTAGTCTCCTCTGCAATGGAACGCAGAATGTACTGCACGGGAGTATTTCTCGACATTGAGTAGGCGTTTAATAAGTCTGGCACCCAGGATTGCTGTACAAACTCCGTAAATTCCACCACCTACATACTTGCTCATTATTCATTCCTACCTTACTAATAGATAATTCAAAGTAAATCACAACAATGCCTATTCAACCCTCTTTTCCCAGTCAGCTGGTGTTCCTCAAGGTAGTATCCTAGGTCCTATTCTTTACACAGTATATACAGCTGACATCCCAACTTATCCAGACACCGTTATTACAACCTATGCCGATGACACATGTGTCCTATCAGTCCATAATGACATAACAATTGCATCCCAAACCCTTCGATCCCACATCACAAACCTTGAAGAATGGTTTCGAAACTGGAGAATTAAAATAAATCCCATCAAATTATCTGTACACTTCGTCATAAACCTATGACTTCCTTTCCTAAAGTATCCTTCAATAATACTCCACTAATCCCTGTTGAGCAAATCAGATACCTAGGACTCCACCTGGACAAACGTCTAACTTGGAATCCTCATACCAGACTGAAACGACAAGAAACCGCTCAACGCTCCGACTACTTCAGCACTTACTAGACAAACGCTCAAACCTTTCAATTAATTACAAAAGATTCATATACACGACCATAATAAGACCTATTTGGACTTACGGAGTTGAGCTTTGGGGCTCCACTAAACCATAAAATTCTTAATGCTCCTTACTTTTTAACAAATAAAATAATCCATAATGACCCGAAAGTTCCATATGTTTCCGATTTGGCCCAATCCAGATATCTATCCTTTCATAATAAACTTCGTAACCATCCTAATCCTCTCGTTTCTAATCTTGCTTCCTTCTCGATCCCTGATAACCCTCCTAGGCGTCTAAAAACAAAATAGCCTCCTGATCTCTTAACTAGATACTTTATTAGTGCTAACATTGGGGATACATGAAGTTATCATCCATCATATTAATTGAACAATGTTAAGTAAAATAATGATAAGATTTGTTATGCATAATTTATGTCACAGCATGTTTTGGAAGAAAAAATATATATTCTCCAGACAACTCTTTTATGCCTTAAGATTACACATGGAATGATAACTGGTATCACATAACAATGTTTTTAAGGCCTTTTAAGTCGTATTAAATTAACAGTGTAGCCAGAACACCCAGTAACATTCATTACGACTTTTTTCAATAAATATTAGGTACAGACCTACTTTCCAACTTCACACTCAAAGTATTAGAGATAACTAAAAAAAGTACCTATAATTTGAAATACCATCTTATAACAGCGAAATTCCCCATGGTTAAATATAAATCAACACAGCTCATTTCATTTCAAAGTATGAAGAACTTTACACCCTTGCATTGGGGATAGTAACATTTATTATGTTTTTTCAATTCACAATAAGATATTTCTTCTTGTGGTTGAGATAGATTTATTTTAATGTTACCATTACATTCCTCGGGGGAAAAAAAACAACATAATTTTACTTTAATCCGAAAAAAAAAATGTGCAACACGAATGTTAAGACCTGGTACATCAAATAGTCAAATAATAAAAGAATGATGCATAGATATCTAAATGATTGATTGAAACGTTTATTCAGAAATAAGTAGGATATTCGAGATGAAAGGATCTACTGATATAGACAGTTGAGCCGATAACAATATTTTAAAGGCCAATACCAGTTGTCGGTAAAAAAAATCTGCCTAGCAGTTGTTCTTTTCTATCTTTCGAGGTTCGTACTATTTTTCTTGAAATATTCTCCATATTGCTATATAACATGTGTCAATCAATCGTCTAGGGGGTCGACTGATATAAAAATTTAGCTGATAACAATATTTCTAAAACTGAGATATCCATACATTGGCTATTGGCCCTTCTTTTAGTTTTGACTAGTCGTACTGTTTTACTTGGAATATTCTCCTTACTGCTGAATAAATGTCTCAATCAATCTCCTGGAGATCTATTGAAAGAAAAATTTTAGCCAATACCGAAATTTTAAAGGCTGATATATATATATATATATATATATATATATATATATATATATATATATATATTTATTTATTATATATATATAATAATATATATATATATATTTATTTCTACATTCTCCACTCAAACATTTAATATGTTTTCCTTAGTTTTAATACAAAGACTACTAAGTGCTGTTTGTTAAACTAAGTAAAATAACTTATTCCTTTCCATCAGAACAACCAAATAGCCACAAATTAGCTATAAATAATAGCTAATTAAAAACTTTTTTAATTGAAAGTTCTATCCTAAAAATAAAATATGAATGAACTACCTGTCCATTAGTTATAACAAAATCATGCATTCTACACCAATCTTCTTCATTTGAGTCAACAGCCATAACCATATCATCATAGACTTGCTTTTGGAGTAGATGGTCAAACTCATATTCCATATTCAGATCTAACCATCCAATTCATAAAGCGACAAAAAATAGCTGCTATCTATTTACAAATTAAAGTTACCCTGTAATAGTAAGTAAATTTAAATAATTAATAGTAAAATTTATTACATGTACATATTAGGGGTAAATAAAATAAAATAATTATAAAAGAGCTAATAGAATTATTTTAAAACTATTACATGACACTTTTGATTAAAAATCCATAAAATATTTTCACAACACTTCAACATTAATTATTTAAATTATGTTGATACAATAAACTGGTGAAATTAAAAAATGCTTTGAATCAATTATTTGTTGATAAAATGTATGCATTGTTTTCACACCAAAAATCAGCCAATTTTCAATAAGCATCACTTAAACATAACTAATCCCAAAAGTATCATGTCTAATTAACAAAAGCATCCTGATTATCAAATTTAATTAGCTTCTACTTTGTATTCTCCGCAATTATTAATATTTTGGTTTGAAGAATGTCTGTGTTTTGTTCTTTCTCTATTTGATTTCATGGAATTTCTTTTTAAACAAAAATAAGGATGGTTATCACTCTTAACCTCTATGAATACCTATTTTAAATTCAGTTAGTGCATACATCAATTTAATGAAATAACAAAGTGAATTAGTAAATTTTAGGAACCGGAGGAATCAAATTTCAGTATTTATGCAATTCCATGCCTTTTATTTATAAACAAGGCTTAATACCACAGAGACCAGAAAAGGAAAGATAGAGTTACTATAAGAACTAAACAAGTTTGATTTAAAAAATGTATAAGGGTGACATCAGTCTCTAAAATATTGGTTTGGCAAATGACTCCATTCTGTTTTTCTGATTATTTTTATGTCACGACCATACACTTCTTATCTAACAAATTAATCCCAAAGGTGGATTGTTCGTTCTATTTTAATATGTCAACAAACATTTCTGAAAACTTGTTAAAATTAGATCAGTATTGTGCTTACTAACTATTGCATGGTAAAAATGGAAGAAAATATCACTCCTTATCGATATACTTTGCTGTATTATTTTAAAGAAGATAAGTGTACTGAAAAAGCTAATAAAAAAAATTGCAGTGTTTAAGGGGGTGATGCCATAACAGGGTGTCCAGCGATTCCTCTTAAAAAAATTCCCATAAATTTCCCGTTTTTCCCAGATTTTCTCCGCTTTTTATAGATTATTCCAGTAAATTTCTCAACTTCACATTTAATTTGTAATTACTTGTTAAGTGTAACTAATTAAGTAATTACAAATTAAAATAATGAGTACAGCTGCCTATAGTGTAATGTAAGCTCTAATTGCAAACTAAAGTCATGTTACACTTTTTATTTTATTTTATACAGTAATTTTATAACCATATACAGTACATTCCCAATAATCCAAGATGGTTAATCTGCCTTTAATTATTTGCTTTTACTATTTTAAAGCACCTTTTTAGTCCTATGATTCCCAAAAATAATGAACTGTTGCATTTTATAAAAGATCATCGGGGGAAGAGGTGTATTTTACATAATTTTTAGAACTAGAACATATATGAGGCACCTATGCATAGTGCGTTATGTGCAAAAATCATATTTATGGAAAAACACAATTGAAAGATTGAAATTTTCACAGGTGCAAGTTCAATTTTCAAGTTTCAACCCATGATTCACAAAGGAATGTTGATCTCTGTAATAGCCAAATAGCTTAACCCATTAGACACAAAGAAATAGAGAAAAATTAAATTTCTAGAGATGCTCATAAAAATTCACAAATTTGCACTTAACATACTTTTCACAGGTACCAAAGATACATATATATGAGAGGTCTGGAAACGTTTAATATATAAATTTATTATTATTTTTTTAAAGGGAGTCCCTTCATATCAAATGGGTTGCGTATTTAAATAAAGATTTTTTTCCCACCTCTTCCTTATATAAGGCCAAAATTCTGCCCCAATTCAAGAAGTTTTTTAACCTGATAAAGTGGTGATAAAAATTGTTCAACCAAATGTGTTTCATTCAATTGGAAATGCTCCAATAAAAAAAAACTGGTGCGCGCATCACACAACTTTCACTAACCGCTCCACTTTAAATAGAAATTATTTTCTGACAATGTTAGGCTATTATAAAAAATGTTAAGTGCATTTTTAACGGGTTTAAAGCTTAAAACTTACAGCTAACAAGTTATTAAGACCATCAAAATAACAAAAACCATATTTATTATATCGACAGTAGTCAGAGTAGACAGACTCCAGTCTGTGAGCTATATATGCCTAGAGAGATTTAAAAGTACATTTGTATATTTCTGTGGCACCTTGTTAAAGTAATGAATGTGAAACGCTATGCAGGTTAACATTTATTACTTTTATACGGTGCCGACGATCAAACCAATAAATGATTATGGATTGTAATACTATAAGATAAGTTAATAAACTTTTATTTTTCCATTGTAAAGTTTACAAAATGTGAAACGCTATGCAGGTTAACATTCATTACTTTTATATGGTACCAACGATCAAACCAATAAATGATTATGGATTGTACTAATATAAGTTAATAAACTTTTATTTTTCCATTGTAAAGTTTACAAAATGGAGTTATGAGATTTTCATTGCCTACTATTGAAGGTCAAACATTGTCACACTAATAGCAAGTGGATTTTGTTGTGATTTCACAAAGGGAAAATTCATCAAATTATTCACTAATTTAATTTTCTGAAATGTTACATGATGAACTTTCATAATAAACCGACAAAAGATCTCTAATTATTTAAATATAATATCAGAGCTAGATTAATTAAACTGCAGCAAATGTATTTCAGGTTATAAACATATGGCTTACACATCCGTGACATATTTTTACATTTTACTTCTTCTTTCAATAGAATAGAAAAATAATTTTATTCTGGGACGAAGTCCCTTCAGAATAACAAAAAAAAACATAAAAAGTTAAGATAAAGATAGATCATTAAAAAAAAATAAAAAAAAATATTGGTTATACATACTATATACAAAATAAAATAAAAAAAAACTCTTGAAACCATACTAAGATACTTAAAACTATGTACAATGTTAAAATATAAATAAACCCTTTTAGAAAAAATAAAAAACACAGAAAAAATAAATGTAAATTCTTCTTAACAGTAAAATCTGTTTCTGATGAAAAAAAAAAAAAGAAAGTCGAATCTATAATAAGTATTTAGGTTATGAGCTATATGTGAATATGTTATTATAAATAATATGTAATTTTACATAAAAGGTTAGCTGGTATCTGACTGTTTTTGGGACAGGAATTGGAATAGGAGGGATTTGAATGTAGATAAGGATGAAGAATGTTGAATTTTGATAGCAAGGGAATTCCAGAAACTAACAGAACGAGCAATAAAGGAGTTTTGGAACGAGGCAGATCTGTGAGAAGGAATGTAAAGGTCGGAAGGTCGAGATCTTGTGGAGAGGGAGTGGACTGAGGACTTGAATTGGAGAAGGTTGTAGGCGTAGGAAGGACGATGATTGTTGATGATATGATAGAGGAATGTACCTAGGAAATATTGTCTTCGAATGGAGGGGAAGAGCCACTCTAACTCAGTGTAGTGGTGAGAGACATGGTAGTATCTCGGGGCACCAATTACAAATCTCACGCAACTGTTCATTAATCTTTTCAGTCTGTCGCGGAGCTCCACCGAGAGTCCATCATACACCACACAGCAGTAGTCAAAGTGGGAGTTGAGGTTAAATGAAAGAGGAAACGAGGAGTCTACGCGTATGTTGAGGTAGGAGATGGCGGAAGCGATGGAATAGTTTGAGGGTAGAAACAGTCCGTCGGGAGATGTGAGAAATATGGTGACTCCAGGAGAGGTTTTGATCAATAAATAGTCCTAATTTTTTTACAGAGGAATAGAAGGAGATTGGCTGGTCACCAAGGTTTAGTATGGGAAAGTCGGTATAGGATCTAAGGAGGGGCTTGGAACCAATGACAATGGCCTGAGTTTTTGAAGCATTTAACCTTAATCTGTTTAAGTTTGCCCAGGCACAGATTCGATCTAGGTCTGCTTGGATCTTAGTAAATGCTACCAATAGCTCAGGGGGAGAAAAGGATAGGTATATTTGAGAATCGTCTGCATAAAGGTGGTGGGAACAATGGAGAAGTGAGTCATGGAGGTCATTAATATAGGAACTAAAAAGGAGAGGAGATATGCTAGATCCTTGGGCAATTCCAGAGGATAAAGGCAGGTAGGCAGATAGTGTTTGATTAGGAATGGAGACTGGTTGGGTGCGTTGTGAGAGAAAAGATTGGAACCAAGAGATGGAGCTATTGGAGAAGGAGAGTGATTTTAGTTTGTTGAAAAGGATGGGATGGTTAATGGAATCGAAGGCTTTAGAGACGTCAAGAAGTATAAGGACAGTTAATTGTTTATTATCTATTGCAGTCTGAACATCATTGGTAATTTTGATTAAGGCGGATTGTGTGGAGTAGCCGGGACGGAAACCAGATTGGAGAGGATCAAGTTGGTTGGACTTTTCGAGGAAATTGGAAACTTGGGATTGCACCAATCTTTCTAGGGGTTTTGAGAGATTGGAAAGAATTGAGATTGGTCGATAGTCTTCGGGAGAGGATGGATTAGGCTTTTTATTTAAAGGGAGTACAATGGCTTTTTTCCAAGAGGAAGGGAATATTGAGTTCAGTAGTGAGAAATTGTAAATGAAAAGGAGAACTGGGAGGATTTCGGGGAGACATAATTTTATCAATTTGACAGGAATACCATCTGGTCCTATGGAATTGGTGTGGGATTTCATTACTGCGGTTAGTAAGTCAGTCGGGGAAATGTTGGAGAAATAAAAGTCATCATCATTAAATGATGACTCAGGAGCAAAGTTGGAAGAGGAGGGAAGAGAAGAGGTAGAGGAGGCAGAAATAAAATGTGAATTTAAATCGTCAGGTGAAACGGAAAAGACCAGTGAGGAAGGGGATCTGGAAGGTTCACAGAGGGAAAGTTTGCGAAGGATTAGCCATTTAGATTTGGGATCTGGGGCAGATGAAAGGGCTTCATGAAAGTAGGAAGCTTTAGCTCGCCGAATTCTTGTTTGTG